AGCGCAACCACTCGGCAACAGATCAAAACGATAAACGCGAGCGTTTAATGAGCCATCTACCGGCAGAAATATGAATTTATCCATTCATGATCAAATTTTCGTGACCCTGTTACCATTGAACTGTCGAGATTCTTCGAATAAAAATTAATTCAAACGCGACCTCATTCGGGTTATATTTAGTAACATTTTTTATAGCTCTCCCCTAATAGTCACGTAGTTACGTCTAGTTATATTTAGTCATATCTAGTTCTATTTTCTAGTTATATTTAGATCTATTTTTTAGTTATATTTAGTGATACGCAACTAAGGTTAGTTTCCCTGTCAATTAGGAACCGAATGAGGTTATGTCAACTTATTTTTATCGGAAAAGCTGAATAATACCGTAATGATAGTTTCGTAAAAGCCTAGTCGCAAATATAAAATATTCGATTCTTCATTCGTGCACCATTAATTCAGTGCTCGAGATGATTCTTTTGATCTGTCACTGATTGATTACTCGAGATTCGAGCATCGTTCATCGCTGCTACCTCTGACTCATAAAATAAATGGTGGGACTGAATTCGTGAAAACTTAACTAGGCAAAAATCTGACCACTCATCTGGAAACTACTGTATCATGTTTCATTTTCGTGTGACTCAGGCTTAGACTGCGGCTTATTCTGGAATAGTAATCTAAGAAAAGCTGTAAGTACATATTTATGGGAAATTTATATTAATAAATCGAAGAAGTTATAACATATTATAATTGATGCGCAAAAGCCTTGATTTATTTATTTTTATTCCTCAAATATCTGCAAAAATGAATTTTAATATTGACTTTGTATAAGCAGTACATAAATAAATTATTCATACTTTATAATATGATGAAATATTCCTGCAGAAATCTGAATGTATTTCATATTCTTAGTAGCTAAAATGAATAAAGATAAAAATATCTTGTATTAAGATAGGATTTGAAATTATGTATAGTAAATATAATTAAAATATACAGTAAATATGTATTGATGTGTATTATGATTAAGATATAATTATTAATAATAAAATTATCCAAAACCTTTAAAAAGTCACCATTAACCCTAGTCATTTCATTCTTTTGAAAAATTAATACACACTTAATATTACAAAATTTTTAACTTAATAAAATAATGAATCTATTTAATTTATTATAAATTTATTTAATTCTTTCTTCACAAATTTGGACATTACATACTTTCCTATATCAATTGGAACAATTATGAAAAATGGGAGTAAAAGATTCTAATAACAAAAAGTAATCTGACTCTATGCTTCTTTAATTATACAGCAAGTAAGAGAACAGATATTAATTTCGTGTTTCAATTACTTAAAAAAAATTCTAGAACCATATATGCAAATTAGCACGTTTATAGTGGAGACCACGAATAATTGTCATATGAATTGTTTGTCACGTATAATCTTTTTGCTAAATGACATATGGATTCTGCACTTATACGTGTATTGCCTATCACAAGCAATTATTCGATACAAAAATTCTGATTTAATTGTTTCCTGTTGCTGTCCCTGTCTCCTCCACACATTAAACACTATGATTGAAGTCAAGTGTTATTCACCTAAATAACATATTATTCCTCTTATTTGAACTAACCAATTGGTTTACCAACAAAAAGCATTCTCAATCATCAAAAGTTATTTTATACATCAACATTCAAAATTTCAAAATATGAATAATAAAATGTAATAAAATATAATAATAATAAAATATAAATTATGATCAAATTTTGAGCTATAATAAAATACTTTCCATTTTTAAAATATTAAAAAACTGACATATAAATTTAAATCAATTTCATTATTTTTACTCAAAAATAAATATTTTCCTGTATGACAATTAGGTAATCTTCAAACTTCACGAAGTTAATAATAACGAAGAAACATTTTTAATTGCTTCTGTACCTAAAAATAATATTTTTGTTTCTAATCTTTGAAAAATAATTTCGAAATCGAATTGTAGATTTCCCAATTCTACGTCAATGTTACATTCCATTTTTGAAAATGAAATTATTTCACTGTTGCGTATCATTTCGAATTGTTAATAATTCGACGAATTATTTCATGGAAACTAATTTAATCGCATCATTATAATTTCTTTATTATTATACCCTATAATTAATGAATTAAAAATTAATTAATTTTTAAAAGATTAATCTTTAAATTTTATAATACGCTAACAAAAATCATTAGTGAAGAAGAATTTAAAAAATAAAAACAATAAAAATTGAAAAATTATTTCACATTCCAATATGGAATAATCCAAATATGTTTTTCTGTTTACAAAACATGGGAGTAAGAAAATTACATTCAAAATAACAAATTCAGAGTTAAAATTCTGAGAAGGTGAAATATGTTAATTCTTTGCGACAAAGATAGAAAAGTGTGTACGTTCGTGTTCTATAACACGGAGCTTTGTTTTCAAAAAACGTAAGCGTAGAAAATTTCAAGGACCACGTTTAGAACGTGCTGCTTGAACTCTAGAAAAGGCTCACGAACACGAAGTCTCACTTGGTACAGATATACTTCACATAAGAGGTCACGTATTACTCATACAAACACAGATACATAGAAATGTGCTACAGTATGACTTCTGTGTGTGTGCGTGTACGTGAGATCTTTGTCAGCTAGCAGAAACCGGATTCTGAAATTTTCAATGCCTTTCGAAAACGAAGCTCGAGAAACAAGAAAGTGAAGAGTCATTTGATTTCTTTCTCACAAATATAAAAATCTTTTATTTATTCTCTGACAGCCCACATAATTCTTAAACACATTAAAATTTATCCCACATAATCTTCTTTGTATTATTTTATGTTTACATCGTCTGATTAAAACTTGTAAAATAAATTACTATAATTAATTACTATATATTACTACTTAGTATCTTTAATTTTCTTCTAGTTTAGTTTAACTTTATTAATCTTTAGTTTTCTTAAATTGTTTAAATATAACTATAAAGTCGAATTTGTAAAAAAATATTTGTATTCGTTAAACTTCATTAAAAATAAAATAAAAATTATATTCAAAATTTTGTTAAAAGTTTACTGTAATATCTACAATAACATTGTGAACTATTTCCTATTCATATAAGGAATTTGATGTGAAATATTTTTTTGAATGACTAACAATTTTAGTAACAATTTTAGCAATATGTAAAATAAGATTACAATAAAGCACTCTACACAAGAAAAAATTATTTGCAAAGGGTACCCAAAAATTCACGTAAGAATTAATTTTGATAGAAAATACAGGTTCTTAATTGTAAAAGTTGTAAATATTGCTCCACAATGAAGACGCGTTGTTTTTTCATATAGTACTCCATTTTTAATTACTCTGAACTGTCAGCTGTCACGCTGTCTTTTCTTTTAGTTGGCAACACTTTACCGCACAAATGGCGAAAATTCAAATCTTGCATAAATTTTGGGACACCCTATACTATACTGTATATATATACCATATTCATATATCAGTTCATACAATATTAAAATAATTCCGAATAATTTGACAATAATAAAACTATTTCAAGCAATGATTTATTATTTTAAAATTGGAAATAAATTATAATAACCAAAACTTCTAAAATATTCTTTCTCCATAAAAGATTACAACCACCCTGCATAATAACCAACGCATGAAATACATAACGCAACAGTGAAACTTACAATTTTATAAAAAAAAAAAATTCCCTAGATTACTCTTAACCAATACGTCACTTATTCCTTTGAAGAAGTTCAAATTCGTTAAAGTCTATTTAATCTTCAGCGTGCACATACTTAATTATAAAGCTCTATTGGATCTTTCACCGTGATCATTGGAATAGCTTCACTTGAAAAGAAAAGGGAACGCGGAGAGCGATACCACGTTTACAAACGCGACGTTTCTGAAACGTCAAAGTCCGCATAATCGCGTCAGCTATAACGAGCCTCTCGGCACTCTTCGTTCCTTTCGCTTTAACTAGTTAATAGTTATCGTCGTGTTTGCAAGAATGCTAGACATACCTTAACGTGTATCAACGTATTCGTTGATTATTTCATTAATTCTGTTCAAGAAATTTTTGCCAACGTATTCATACAGCACTTCGTGTTACATAACCTATAAAATACACAACTTTAAATCCTAGTCGCCGAACTTAACCTTACGACCGGTTAACTCGCCCGATAAAGCTGTAACTCTTTTGAAAGATTTTACGATAAATCCATATACATATTCCTGTACATTATAATATAATGTATATGTTTAATATATAATGTGAATAATAATAGAATTAAAATATTAAAAAATAGAAACACGAATGAAACGTAGAACAGTGAACTATTTTTTGAGGAACAAGATTCATCGATATATTATCGATAAAATATTAACTCAATTGTATAAGTATGAAAATACTTAAAACTATAAATTTAAGTGTATATAAATATTAGTATAAGTATAGAAATACGTATAAGTATATAAACATATAATTAGTATAAATATACAAGTATGGAAGTACGTATAAGTATATAAACGTACAGTTAGTATAAATATATAAGTATACAAGGAAACATAAATGTATAAGTATATACGGCATAAGTTACGAAAGCCATTAAGAATTTTGGAAGTATATACAGATTTATCGTCAATGATGATTGCACTTCCTATTTTCCTAATGTTTATCACCACTTGGTTATTTGAGCAAACGAAAGCCATGAATTCCTTCTCGTAACAGAGATAACGAAATAACTCGGAACATATGTTACACATACAGGTATGCAGCAGCGTCTACACAAGTGTATGTTCGTGTCTCTTCGATATATGTATGTACGATACGTGAATTCATGTAAGAGCATGTCACTGATATGAGTTATGTGTGTAAGTATACGTATAAAACGTGTAAATGTGTACATATACATGAAAAGATTATAAGTATATACATACTGAAAGTAAAACGTTAATAGACAAGAGACAGGATTGAAGGATGTAATTATATAATAATACCTCTTTCCATGTTCCCGCTTGTATTCGCCGCTGTACTTGGACCTACTGCCTACGAGCTCTATTATCTCAGGTATGCTACTAGCAAAAATTGCCTGCAAATAGAAATCATAACTGGAAAACGCTATGCCACTACGAACCGTTACAAACAAACTGGGTCATCTATGTATGGTTGCAATGTACAGCAGGGGCTTTCACCGGATATATATACACGTTTGCTGGATCCTCGGATTACGTGGTCGCAGCAGAACGAGAAAAAAGTGGGGGAAACAAGGATAGGGATGTGGTTCAGGGGCAACGATCTGCGTTTTCCTACTCCATGTGCGCGCGTCTCTTATTGTTCCCCAGCGAAAAATCCCGACCAGTTTGTTATACTCATACTCATATCCAGCTATGAATGCGTGCTGACTTCTGGATTAGCAGAGCCGAACGTCGTGAAAAATGCACGCTCCGCGATAATTAATCTACGCTACGGTTTTGCAGGAAACTGACTTTCCAACAGCTGCTTCGATCTGGTTCAGTGACATGACTTTATCTAACGATCAATGTTGCCGAACTTCGCGAAGCTTCGAGGTTAGTTTTTAGTAACCTCGCCGGGTCTTGTATGTTCGGTGCGGTGTTTACAATGTTTACAATTGTTGAGATTACTTTTTGCAGATACTTCTCGTTCAACGTTCAACGATAATAAAAATTACAGCGGAGAAGAGAATTGTTAAAATATCGTTTTAAGCAAAGTCAATTTCCTTGATTATATTTCTAGCATGAATTTTGAAAAATTCTATTTTTTCAATATTTGAGAAACTTGTCGCATAAATCTGTTTAATTTTGTTCTAGCCTTAGTGATATAAGTGTATTACTATATGAATAAGACGAATGAAGTTTGAAAGTTTGGATAATATATGTGTATATAGTATATGGATGTGAAATGTGACATTGTAGTAATGTGTTAGCAAGCTTTGAAGCAGTTACAACTGCAAGAGAATGTTATGATATGGTACAGTTGTGCGAATATAAATGTTTTCTATACAGAGTATTAAAAAATACTAATATTTACATGTTTATGTATTTCATAGTAATAAGATATTTGAACGTTTCATTATTACTAGATTATATTTTCTATTCCTTTTATTTCTCCTATTCCAAGTTTGTTTCTTCCAGATGTCTTTTATGTAACAAAAAGCACATCTTTTACTTGATATTGTGTATATAAACTATTTAATGTACCAAACAAGCACACTGAAGAAATCCATTAAATTACAATGTAAAATTACCTTCATCTGAATATTTCCAAACTTTATATATTTCATGATTTATATTTATATCGAAGAAAATTGTTTCCAGTACTTGATCTTATTGTCAAAGTTGATAAAAAACAAAAATAATTTAAAGTATATGTTTTAAAAAATATTCTGATAGCTGTACTGTTTAATTAAATTAAGATATCAGGATGCAAATGGCACCGAAAAATTAAAAAAAGATTAAGCTTATTATATACATATGTTATATACATTATATATATTACATATATACAAATTTAGATTTGTTTTTAATATAAATTTCACAGACCTGTTTGATGTTCCTAATCTACAATCCAAACTTTCTATTTTTGTATCTTTTTATATTCTTTTAATAATGAATTTTAATTATAAATTATCATAAAAACAAAGTTACAATCTAACATATTGCTTATTACATTGCAAATAAAAAAAATGGTATAAATATAAATTTTGTTCAAATTTAACATCTTATAGTCACTGAAATGTTTTATAAAATAAAAGAAGTATAGTCTTCTCATTCTTTTCAAACCTTCAAAAACACCAAGAATCGATTATCCATATATATAAATCTACACGTATGCAAAGTTTGACAAATAGATTAATAAATCAAAACACAAAATCCAAATTAAAGCTTGAACTTTTCCTTTCAATGTAATTTGCAACAATGACAAGTATGTACAAATACTCAACTGCATTCAGAACTGCATAAATAGAAATTTGCATTTTGCACAAAGAGATTGAATAATTTCATCATTCATTATATCTATTTCATTTTTATTTTTCTATAAACAATCTTTAACACATAACAGTTTTTTAACACTCCGTATAATACTCAAAACACACAATTTCCAAATCTTTCAGAGAATATCTCACATGTATGAAGACATTAATGTGAGTAAAGCGCATGAGTATAATTTATAGATGACAGACCAAGTTTATGATATGTACAGTGAAACCAGGAAAATTGTGATCATAGAAAGGAAGCAATGACACAGGTAGGTAGAGGTAGATGAAAATAAAACTGCGCATGCGTTGAGAAGATCGGGTCACACTATTAGACATTAAGCAGAGAGAAGAAACAGAAAATTAGGAAAGCTTGTTGAGCACTCTATTTCGATCAGTATCGACACATTAAGCAGACATTCAAGATCATGTTCATGCAAATGTAAAGCACAGCATAGCAGACCCCTACGTTTGCAGTCAAAGATCACATAGTAAGATTTGCATCGAAAGTGAGGTTATAAAATTCGTTGTGTCATCTTCTTATCGATGCCATTTCAGTGTTAGCCTATGTTTGTGTAGAGGGCTGCAACGAGGGAAGCGCTACATCATACTTGCAATTTCATACTATCTCTAAGACCTCTATTGGCATAATACTAAAGGAATCAACGAACCACTGTGAACATATGTTAGTTTGGTTTCGTTAATCGTGTTAAATAACTTCAAATTTTTATATAGTGCTCCTCATAGTGCTCCCTTCGATTTTGAGTCATGTAGTAAGTAATTCACATGTCAGGCAAATTCGTTAAACATGTCAGGCAACTAAAGACACTGCGGTTAAACAAAATAATAATAAAGTACAGGAGAAGAAGACATTCCTGTGTTGAATTTTATCGAGTCGAAATTGAGAGAAATCACGAAATAGAAATACGACAAAGTCAAATTTCATCAAGATGTCTCCAAATGAAAGGACAATTTATTATATACAAGCTTTTCGTTTTCATTATAATATTTGTGGAATAATTTCAATTGATTAATTGAAATTAAATTAATGATATTTTTAATATAATTTAATATTATATAATATTATGGAAAATAATATTCAGGAAGTATGTAAAATTATAAAGTAATAACTACTTAATCAAATGTCCTTAAAAACAATCAAATATCCTAATTACAATTTTTTAAATCATAAATTATACTTTTTTTCTTCTGAAAAAAATTTCTCAAAATTTCTTTTTAAAATTTATATCCTTTCCTGAGGGACAGCCTGTATAAAGCAGTATGATGGAGAACGAAAGTCAAAGTCAAAACGAACAAGTTTCGAAATGTACTTCTGAATTAAAAATAAGAAAAGAAAAAACGAAAAAGAAAAGAAATTTGAATATATCTGATAAAGTTTGTGGTATAGAGACTCCAGGACCTTACTAATAAGAAAAGATCCCTTAGATAGCAACTGAAAAAATCCTATATCCTTAGAATACTATAAAGGGAGAGAGTGTCTTGACAAATAATACGTTTTTAATTTTTACCCTTGTTTTCCATAAATTCACTTTAAATACTAAAATCAATGCTAGCAAAATAAAAAGTATAGAAAGATCTTTGGAACTTTTTGTAAGAAAATTATTAACTTCAAGCTTTATACATCTACGTATGACTTAAATGCAACATTATATTGGACAAAAACTTTATAACAAGTGTATTTACAAATCAACTGATCTCATTCCTTTTTACACTGAAATTATATTACCTTAAAATTCCTTCTTTTGTGCAGTACACGAAGACATCTTTTAATTATTTTTATTTTTAATAAAGTTATGAATTATATAATTTTTCTAAGTAACGAGAAGCTTATAAATAAATTATATAACTTTTCTAAATAACGTAATAGTTTTTAAATATAGATAATGCCACTCAAAATTAACCGAGTAAATTGTTATATTAACTATAAAAGTGATAAGTCTTCGTGATAATGATCGAATGTACTGTTTCATATTCATAATACATGTATACATCTATTTTAATAATTCTTTAACAAAATTAAACGAATCTTTATAAAACGTTTATAAAATCTAAGGTTAGAAAACTTTTCGAAATTTTAATTTAAAACTTTATGATTATCCCCAATAAAGTTATTTTGAATCAAACAACAGAGACATCTATAGTAGGAAACACGGACATAACCTAAATTGAACCTAAGAGATAAACATTTTATATTATTTATAAGTAGTATAAAATTCTATAATTGAAAGAAATTAAGAATTCCATAATTTGCTGGAATTAGAGTTAAAAGAAATAATAGAATAACCAATTTGTACTAATTACATATGTACATACATTATTCTACTACGTGACATAAATGATACAAAGTATCTGCAAAATATACAGTATAAACGAAATATTTATATAATCTTTAAAACTATTTAATTTAGTTTATGTAATTATAATTTATTATTACTATTTATTACGTTACTATAATTACGTTATTTACGTTTATAATTCCATATACAACTCATAAACAAATTTCTTTATATTTATCGTGTGAAACAAATAATACAAAAATAGAAGAAAAAAAGCGAGGAAGATTATTCTTCAAGTTTAGTGAATTTGGACGATGAAAAAAATAAAGTATATTATTTGTCGAAGCCACACTCTTCATATATATAATTTTTACACGCGATCTAATACTGATTCGACCGAGTTTGACCGATTGATTATATTATAATTTTGGAAAATCGTTTCTAAATCCTTTCATTAC